ATGACACATCAACTGCATCAGCTGGGCTCATGAGCACCAAGCAGGTTTCTCCATGTCCCTGTGCAGTACTGGAATGTAACTAAGTACATATACTCAAGTACTGTGCTTAAGTACAATTTTCAGGTACTTGTACTTTGCTTGAGTGTTTACATTGTGTGCTGCTTCATACTTCAACTCCACTACATTTTGAAAGTCAACATTGTACCTTTTACTCCGTTTAATTTATTATTTCACTATTATGGGTTAAAGGGGACCTAGACAGCTTTTCCCTTATTTTCTGCCATGTATATGATGTCACAATGTTGCATGGTCATATTAAAAGTTTCAAATAATGAGGTAAACATATGTAAAAGTAATCCCTGTGAACAAAAACCTCCAGACTGTTTTGAATACGCTGTTTCCATTTTTTCTACTTTAACTACCAGATGACATCAGCTTGTGACAGATTTCTTTATAAGCTCATCTGCTCCAGGCACACTACTGCAGGTGTTTACATTATTTAGCCCACGCTGCTACATGTAGCTACATGCTAACGTCACAGAAGCATGTAATTTTGATTGCCAGTTTTGTTAATTTCTCCCCAATTGTGTCATTCCCCGGCTGCAAGTACACTGCTACATGTAGCAACATGCTAACACCAGGGAAGCTTGTCGTTGTGTTAATGTGTTGTTAATTACCCCCTGATTTCAGATCATATTCCATATTCTTATTGATTTTTCACAGTAGAAAGCACCACTATTCTCCGTTACAGTCGTTCTGCAGTGACAGTACAGAGATCTAGAAATGCTGACCATTCAAAGCTTTTTGAGAAGGGGTCTTAAAGAAACAGGCGCTTCTGTCTCAGACAGAACGTGAATCCAGGTGTTCTTGCACAGACAGTATGAGGAAAATAAAGTGTTTTCTTTAACATGAAAACATTTAAAAATGGTTGTAGGAACCCAAAATACAAATGTGAACCTGAAAATGTGCATAGTAGGTTACCTTTAAGCTACCTGGCAGTTTATTAAGAAGCTGAGGTTAGCTCCACCTTGACCAGCTGCAAAATGAATGATGCCTACATATCAACGTACCACGGATAATAATCCAGTGACAGAATAAATAATATTCTGAAAAGGGCCATTCTGCGTAATGAATACTGATGTATTTTTTGTTAAATACCATAGTGTTGTTTTAGACTTTTACCTTTGCATATGCACAACAGCATGTTTCCATTAAATGGAGTGAGTAGTAGCTCTTGTCTTACAGTGAGTGCCTTTTACTTTACGAGAGTGTTGTATAAGAGAGTGAGAGCATATAGAGAGATCAAGTCCTGCCCTCTCTCATGTTTAGCTTCTGTTCCACTGTGCACGACTGTGTTACTCAACAGGTCCATTTTCTACTACTGCTGTGGACATTAACATTTGAATATATCATCCTTTTAACAAAGATAAAACAATGATTATTTTTGTAAGCACTTAAACAACAACATATCCCATGAGTCTTCATCACTTGTGTACTGTCAGGGCCTCATGGGAGCACTTTCTCTGAATTGTCACACTCTCCTGAACATGTTTGCAGTCAGGGAAGAGTGGGAGGTTTGGAAATGAGATTCTCAACTCCTAAATTAACAGCCAGACACTGTGTGTGTGTGTGTGTGTGTGTGTGTGCTCCAGGTCTAGGGTTTCTATCTGAACACTGATGCATCAAATTACAAAAAGATGAAAGAAAATGTGAAACTTCAATTGTTTTAATTAAAAGTACCACACGTCTGTTCTGATTTGCAGCGAGAAATTATTTTCTGCTATCTCAGTAGAAAGTTGTGCTGGAGACACTGAGCCTCCTCACTAATATCTGTGGAGAAAGGTTCTTACTTTGTGCACAAAATAAGTGCACATGCAAAATTACCATCGAGTAGATGACACCAATGCAGCAATTTTGTTATTATCATCGTTCTATGTTAGTGAATCAGAATCTAATTCTAAAATGACAAGCACGTGCATGCTATTTACAGTCAGCATACTGCCATGTCCCCATTTCTCTATATATGGAAATATGTCCCAGCCTGATCCCCTACAGTATGTTTCTCATAAATATCCCTGGAGCCAGGAAAACGATGGTGGACAGATCTTTAACCTGAGAAGGTATCGGGTGACAGCAGTGTGTCTGAGGCCTTAGATACCATTCCAGGGAAATGCATATCTGCAGCCAAACTCGTCTTGGCAGCCATTCCTTAATCTCTTCAAACATCTTATGATGGTCTCTGAAGATGCACTCTCTCCTGAAGGCACCGGCTGCAGTATCTTCTAGCATGTCTGTTAATAGGCAACCAATTAACCAGGTGGCTCTAGGGGCTAGTGTTTGAAATGAGCTGTATACAAGTATATGAAACAGTGCATTGGACACTGCTACTGCAATTGTCAGTATCTCTCTGTACTTTTCTCTCACATATAAACGTACCAATTAGCATTGGCTACATAGGTGCAATTCCATGGCACTAGAAAGTGGTGAAAGTAGCTGATCATTACAGACATTTCAGTATCAACATTCTCATATACGCCATAGAAAACTAGGGATATTTTAATTATGAAAATTATTGATGAGGATAAAATGGCATCTGTTTCATAGGTATCTAATACATTTGGCCAATGCATTTGTAAATACATTTTGTTTAAATCTATCAAAACCTTTTTCAATCATTTTAATATGCCATTTAGTTAAAATACATGCACTTACATTTTCTAAGACAGCCTGGTCTTATCATTTGTGTTATCATATGATCTTAGGTTAATTCTAAATTAGTCATAAATTTGCAGAATACGCAAAATTCAGGTAAGAAATTATTGATAAATCCCAGATTTGTGCGTAAATTGTTCATATGCGTGATTAAAGCACAAATCTGTGTGTACAAACTGCTCATGAATGAAGCCCATTAGTACTCCAGTAGGAACCTCATCCTCGCTAAATGTGTAAAGATCACGTAAAAAAAACCCATTTCCTCATCAAGTAGTATCATTTCACCCCCTATGTAAATACAACATATCCTTATACAATGGTTTGTATCAGTGATCTCAAGAAGTGTGCCGTGTGCCGTGATGCCAATCCAGGTGTCCCGTGGGATTTTGTGATAACAAGACATTATTACTGCAATATTCAACTGGGCCTATACAAAAAGTTATGAATGAATTTTTAATTGACTGTATCAGTATGTTGAGCGCCCCCATTTCCTAATACAAAGGAAACTCCAGCTAAAAAATGTCATTTAATTTAATTCAATTAAAAAAAGAAATGTTCACAGGGAACCTTTGTCGCCATTTGCGTATAGGAATTATAAGTGTGTGACACATCAAAAGCCCTGATTGACAGCCAGTGTGAGGGATGATAACATTTTAAAGGAGAAAGCCGTGACTGGGACAATGGATCACTCTATTGTATGTCGCAAATTGCAACAAAGCACCAGCAAAGACGACCTACCAATGAAAAAAAAGAGAGAGAGAAAAACCGTCAGTGGACAGTGAAAGCTACCTGTCTTATTGTTCCTTATTTTTATCGTCTTATGTCGTGTTAGGAGTGATAACACATGTTATAGAAGCTATTGTGCACAGATATATTTAACAGGTGTGATGTCTTATTAAAATACACACACAACAGTTCATTTGATAGCTAACAAATTAGCGTCCACTGAATGAGGCTACTAACTTAACATAAAGTCACGTCGGTTAAGACAAATAAAGCTGCTTTGGTTAGGTTTAGGAAAAGAAACATGATGATAATGTACCTTAAAATGACTCATACAGTTCCAAATACCAGTCTCCTGGGGGAAAGTCCTCTGTTTTGCAACCCATCGTCACTCTGCCTCATAACACAGACTACTTCCCTCTGTACTCCCGTCAGTGCATTGGTCACATGATCACAGCCCTCCCAAATACTGGCTTATTATGTGGAATATAAACACATTTTGGTGCATCACTTTTGTCGGTATACATTTGGACAGTGCATGAGCACAACCTGACACATAAAACACATTTCACATTTCCAGTTTTCATTTTATCCCTTTTTATTTTACACAACATAACAACACAGTACATGTTGTCTTTTTCTGTACAGAAGCCTTCTGGGAGCTTGTGACCAACGTCAGTGAAAAGCTCACAGGGTTTTTATGTTCTTTTTTTTTTTTAATTCTTCCCTTTAAAAAATATCAATTTCATAAGAGGTCCGTTAGTCTTCATGTGTCACTTTTTGTCTCAGTTTGTGTCTGTCTATTTGTCAAGAAACGTCTGTACTCCTCAGTAGGTAAGAAAGGCTATGTGTGAAATCTCTCTCTCTTCCTTTTGTCTGTCCCCTCCGTCCTAATCCCTCGTTCAGGGAGCGTGGTGGAGTCCTAAATCCGGTTATATCATCTGTCAGAGTGCAAAAGAAGGCACCGACTGCTTTTCTCTTGCCGCGTTATGGAAACACACTTCCTGTGGGTGTGTGAAGGTAGGAATGGTGTGCTTTGCAGTTCTTGTATTGTTTTTTTTAATTCCTTTTTTTCCTGTTATAATTCCCTTTTCGTGGTATTTTCAGATAAGATGAGTGTGAATCGGGAAATGTCGTGGCGAGCCCATTGTCTTGTTTTATTTTGTGCTATAAAGTGGAACAAACGAGACAACTCGAGGACGCTACGAGACAAGACGAGTTGTCCACTCGCTGAATGACCGACTGAAAAAACAGATAGGAAACTGTCAAAGTGAAAAAAGCTGTAAACTGAATACAAAGAAATGTGGAGAAACAATATGAAAATAATTAAAAAAAGTCTGAAAAAGAAAAAGTATGCTCACGCTTTCACCCAGAAACACACAGTCACCCTAAAGGTTCCGACATGAACACACACACTGTACACACTGAAAACGCACATCCTAAACGGCAACAACACACACTTTCATATGTCACAAACGCACCTTAGCCTCCACTCACACACCCCGAGACAAATTTAAACTAACACACACACGCAAAACCTCAGACATACACTCATACAAAAGATAAACAATAATGGATAAACCAAAGTTTATTTCATGGTTGCTGTCTCGTTCCAGTTCAAACTGTACTTTCTAAGATCCAGTCTGAATCACACCGCCCTTTGTCCGAGTCTCCATCCCCGTCTTTCGGAAGTAGCATTCCGCTCATTGATTGGCTCCTTTTGTTCCGCAATATGCGCCCTATTTTGGGTGCTCCTCCTCCCTGATTGGACGAGTGAGTCTTTGAGCCTCCTTCACTGAGCGAGTACCTCCTCCTCGCCCTGCTCCTCCCCACCTCCTCCGCGGGGAGAGTCTGGTACTTGGTGGAGGAAGAAGCAGAGGCCCGGGGAGCCCTGCGCAGGATGGGCGTCTCTCTAAATCGGATGGAGGGAACGGGGCTCGGGGAAGCAAGAGGGCTGGAGAAAGCGGAGTGGATGAAGGGAGGCGGGGTTTGGTTGAGAGAGGTGGAGTTGTTGCGGTTGGTGTTGAGGTTCTCCAGAGGGGTGGAGGGGAGGAGGGCTGAGGAGGCGGTGGAGAAGGAGGAGGAAGGAGGGCGAGGGGAGGAAGAGGGGAGGTTTTCAGGAGTAGCCGAGGTGTTGGAGCAAGCTGAGCCCGGCTTACTCGGAGCGGGCTTCCGCTTTGGCTTGGTTAGTGAACCGCTGGTGCCGGTGGGCGAGGAGACGGCAGCTTGAGCTCTCTCTTCACCCACTTTCTCTTGTTCCTCTGCCGCAGCTGTTGGGCTCCTGGCTGCCCAGGGCTGGCTGAGAACTGACGTAGCCGTGGAGCAGTCAGGCAGGGATGAGTCGGACGACTGAGTCATGGTATCCTTGCCCCCTCCTCCTCCTCCTCCTCCTCCTGCCCCGCTCCTTTTCTTTGTGCCTCCTGAGAGGTCGTCTAATCCGATTGAGCCGTGTTTGGAGGAGCTGGGAGTCACAGTGCATCCCTGTGACTGCTGCCCGTTGGTCTGTGAGTGAACGTTGGTCATCGACAATGAAACGCCTTTTCCCCCCTCACCAGGGTTACACACCTGAGGGGAAACACAGATGGAAGTAATGAGGGGCTGATTTTTTCTTTCAAACTAAAATGTTTGCATATGAACTCTTCCATGTATAACAGGGCCACACGGCCAAAAATACTCACTTTTTTTTCATATCATGTAATAAAACAATACAAAGGGAAAATGCCCTGATAGGTGATTTACAAACATGAAAAATTACAGAGAATTATATGAGCTGCTGACAAAGAATCTATTTCAATAAATAAATGATACAGAAATGAACATAAATGTCAACCTTTTTCTGTCTAGATCATTGTAAACACTGCTGTGTGGAATGTTTACAGTATTATTACATTTGATACATTGGTTAGAAACAGCATTGTTTCTGTCTTGTAATTGGTTGTTTGAATCACTGCCATGCAGTACACTTACTGACTGTGCTATACACATTTCTAATTTTCTTATCGAGGAAATATTCTTTTCCAATCTGTGTTATGGCCTTTGTTTCTTAAATTGTTGCACGTCTAATAATGAATACTACCTCACGTTGTGTCAATCATGTTGACACACAGAGTCTGAAACTTTCATTAAAGTTTTTGGAACAGGTTCAATTTTTTGTGTTTTTTCCTATCTGTCAAATGGTTTTGGAAAGATGTTTGAGCAAGAAGCAGTAACCTGTGGGACACACATCCTCAACAAGAGTGACTAACAGGGTCCACAGTATTATTTCATAACTCAGACAGCCTACTTCCAACATGATGATGAGGACGATTTAATAGATGATCTGGACAACACAGAGAGAGACAGAGTTTCAGTGTGGAGACACAGAGGACAGGAAGAACAGTTTAGCCCCTTCAGGTAACCTTGGTGCTAGAAAAAGTGGCAAATGTGTTTTTTTCATTTTGTCTCGTATTGAAAATTTTCGCAACGAACGGAAAAAACAAAATGCATCAGATTTTTATCGGATGACCAATTACAGCATTATTTTAGTTGCCTTTTATGCATGTAAGGAAAGAAATGAGACACAAATTAAAGTCTACCATTGCATGATGTCCACTAGTGGATGGTAAAATTACATATTTATTTAAGTCTGCTCTCATTTCGATAAAAAAAAAAACAACTTCTTACCTATCAGATTAGTTTGTAATAAAGGCATTTTACAGATATTCCTGAGGAGCTATTAACCTTTGCCCTTCTTAATTTATAATGTGTGTGCAGATGTTTTAACTTCACCCCACCGACAATGTTTTTGCATCCCGACCATTTCTAACTTGTAGTAAGAGGTAAGTTGAGAGTCAAAATTATGATTTACAGGCAGGACACCGTACCTTATGTCATAAAACGTACAAGAAAACAACAAAAAAAGGTCTAAATTTAAATTTACTTAATATCTCCTCCTTTTTCATTCAAAACTTTAAATTAAAAACTTTTCATTTCCACGCGGCAGTGGGCTTCTATAGAAAATCAATGACACCGCTCTACGATTCAAATTTATGCTCAAAATGTCTTGTCAGTTAATCAGAAGTAGACCATGCTAGCATATGTCCATCATGTGAAATCTTCCAACATAATGAAAAGCTCTCTGCACTTTTTCTCTCTCTTTTCAGGCTGGTGTGGATTAAGCGAGACAGACCCACCTTGTACCGTATCATCAGGATGATGATGAAAACTAGCACCGAAGCCACTATTATCCCTCCAATGATGATGATCATAGTCCCGCCGAGGAACTGAGACTGCATAAAATGACACCTCATGTACTCTGACTCAGTGGTGAATTGCACACAGCCGACCACACGTGTTGCTGTCAGGGAGGTGATGACATCATCGTAGATGGCCAGCACGCAGAGGTCGTACTGGGTCCCTGCTGCCAGGTTGTTGACCAGGAAGTTCTTGCTTGATGGGGGGATCATTCTGTGGCAGAGGAGAGAGTCAAACAGGGAGGAGAGACAAGAAATGTTTAATCTTTGAGAGCATCAGCAGAGTAGACGCGCTTTGAAGAAGAACGATGTACAGTGCACAGAGGAATACACTGTTACTGGGCTTTGGATTCCCACTTGGATCAATCATTGTAGACCCCTATGTTCTGAATATCCTCCAACTATATTCATTTATATAGTCTTACATAAGGTATTTAAGTGTTGCTGCTGTCCAAAATGTGTGCTTGTGTCATCAGTAATATAATGGGACATTTTCATGGCTTGCCTAAGGGCCAAAGAATTTCAATCTTGAACAGCCAATGCCGTTTGCCTTACCAGTTAAACAATAAAACTTAAAACAACTCTGAAACCCTACCCTCTCTTCCACCGTCATTTGCCCAAAACAGACATAATTTGACCTTTTCAGTTGATATGATGAACTTTTTCCTTATTTTCTTTCATATATGTGTTACAGTGTTGCATGTTGATATTAAACATGGCCAGACCATTCTGAATACTCTGTTTCCACCTTTATTTTTCCTACTTCTGAGATGAGCTTGTGACGGATTTCTTTATATGGACATCTGTACATACACTGCTACATGGAGCTACATGCTAACAACAGGAAAACATGCAATCTTGGTTGCCAATATTGTTAATTTCTCTCCATAAAGATTTTGGTTTTGAAGCTTTCACTGGTGATTTTTCAAAGTAGAAAGCAACTGAATATTTTGTTGTAGTCATTGCCCCAGCTGAAGTGACGGTGCAGAGATGCTGGCTGAAAGGGCAGATACAGAAGAGCTGGATATGCTGGCCAATTAGAACAGACCAGGCCGTTTTGGGAAGGGGGCTAAAACAAGGTGCCTCAGACAAATTAAAGATGTCCAATATTAAAGGTGTTCAGCACAGACAGTATGGGGAAAATGAACATGTTCTTGTAGTAATCCAAAATACAAGTTTGAAGTAAAAGTGAAAAAAAAGTCCTGTGAGTCCCACTGTTGATATAAAATTGGAGAATATAGCAGATTTGATTAACTCTCTGAAACCTTACATTATTTGCCATTAGACTGTACAAGTGTTAGCTAAATTCCTATCTAACAGTAGGGGGCACAGGCATGACTCCAAGAACTCCAGCATGTGATAACAGCAAACATATATGTCCAGTGCTTACAAAGGCCTCTAACAGGAAAAAAAGACTACAGCATGTTGTTGAAAGATGAAGAATGTAGAAAAAAAAATTAATCCAATAGTTAACAAGGCAGGAAGAATGGAAATGATAAAGAATGAATGCACTCAGCTCCACTGTGTATAGTTGGATGCTGAATCCTCAAAAACAAAAACCCAGAAGTCATCAGTGGAACAGGAGACCAATTAGATGATTTTTTATTGCACGGAGCAGAAGAGACGCCCTTCCTTTCTCAATCAGAATCAGCTTTAATGGCCAAGTAAGTGTAACCTGACGTGCCAGGTGGTTTAGTACAAAGAACCATCTGAGAAGATGTAATTAGAAACTGTTTGGAAAAGGGCAGGCACTTTCAACAAATACTCGGCAGGTGATTGGACGAACCATCTGTCTATTACCATGTATCGAGGAAGCTGAAGCCAGTCTGGAGAAGAGTGAAAATGTATCTCCATCAAGAAAAGCCTGCAGTACTGTTTTTTGCTTGTCTTTCAATGAAGAAGTACTCTCCTGTTCTAATATAACTGCTGCAGATGCTAACCTTTGTAGGAGCTGCCATTGTTGTTTTGAACGAACAGTCACCTCTCAGTGTCACCACACACACCTAAACAATGCCAGTAGCCTCTAGTAGCTCCTCGCTGAATGCTGATTGGGCTGAACCATGGCAGAGTTAGAAATTTGAACCTGCCACTTGCCAAATGTGGAGGTAAATTTGACCAGTGGCGGGTGAATTTGTTCTATTTACGAGCCACGGTGGTGGGTAAGCAAAGGGGGTATTCAACAAATGACTAGATTGTTCCATGAAACGTTAACTCAACCATCACGCGTCCCACCTAAATAGTGCTGTTAACTTCTATCCTATACAGCTGTTGTCCTGTAAAAGTTAGCTACGTCGTATCCTGCATCTTCTTGACCAGTCAGAGTAAGGTTCTTCTTCTTTGTGTTTACTTGTGGATTGCAAAACAACTTGAAAGGTACTACTGAGCCTTGAGTGTGGAAAGTGTTGTCTGATTCACACTCAGGAGAAAACAGCCGTTACGAGGGCAGTAGCATGCCTGAAAACTGCCTTGCAAGAGGGGCTAATTTTTCTCTTGAGAAGTCCTATGCCATCGGCAAGAAAGGGAGGCAGTTCAAAGCTACACAAAAGTGTGACTACAAAAAAGTGGATATTATAAAAATATGAGTGCCTGGTAGAACTTACATCTACCAATCTATCAAACACTGATCCACAGTGGTGCGAACACAAATGCATTACTTGAAGCCTCACAAGATGGATTTTAATGTGATTTTGTGATTCAGTGATTCTCGTGAGAATCCAGCTACCATGCAAAGTAAGAGTAAGTATGTACACATACAATGAATATGACTCATTTTTTTCCTGTTGCTCTAAGTGTCCATACACAGAAATAGAGATATAGCTACATCAAGGACAACAAGGGTGAACATGAATGAACATTTAACTACTATGTACAAATATAAATATATGCAGTACTCTAGTCCAAATCTTTTGTCTTCAGGTTTCACAATAAATAAAACATACAAGGGGAAATAGTGAATAAATCAGGATGTTCTTTTTGACAAATACAAAGGTACCTTGCCACTTTGAGTGAAGTTTGTAATTCTTCACTGGACACTTGTCACATTGACAAGAGGATTTGCACATTTGTCCTTCAGTTTCCCTTAAAGGGCTTGTCAGCTTTTCTGGATTTTCTCATTAAAATGCTAATGAAATTCCTCATTAAAACCAAAGAGGGTGGCTAGTTCACAGCTCGCGGCCTTGTGTGCACTGAGAGGAGCAAAGGGCTGCTTTGGCCAGGTTAAGCATTTGGTTTTAGAGCTTGAGTTAAGTGAAGGTTAGGAGACATGGTGGGGTTTAATGGTTAGTATTAAGAGCTAGGGAATGGATGTAGCGGTAGGTCATTAGTGTGCTCTCAGCGGAATAACAGGACAAGGCTGCAAGTGTGTGTGTGTGTGTGTGTGTGTGTGTGTGTGTGTGTGTGTGTGTACATGTGAGCATCTATATGATCCCATGAATACTAATCGGACCATCTGAATGCTAGGTGACCATGAGTGTTCTACGCTTTGCCTCTCTTGATGTTTTCATCACTAGGGTGGTGAACCTTGGTCTTTCTCTCTCTCTCTCTCTCTCTCTCACACACACACACACACACACACTAACGCACACACTGGGACACATAAAGTGACACTGAAGTGAATAGGTTAATGATGGGAGCGAATGTCAGCGGCTCCTACAAGCTCAGATACAAGCAGCTTCATTTGTGTACAAATACACAGACAGAGATTAATTCCTCTATTACTGCTGTGGCCTTGGGCTTCATTTGTGTGTGTGAATGTGTGTGGCTGTGTGTCACATTAACCACCAAAGCATTAATATCTTTGTGTAAAATAATGTGTTTGTTTTATAATTGCACATTCTGGGTTCATCTTTTTCTTGCAGGCTTAAATGCTGTCACGCTCCAGAACAGAGACCACTGTTTACCAGCTCATTAATACTGTCTGGCTCTGGGACATACATTTATATATGTGGAGGACAGAAAGAAAGCAAACATTTGTGAATAAATGTGTATTTTTGGGCCATGTTTTAACTCTGAATGTCTACACCTTCCGATTCCTCAATGATTTGGACAGTTCATGGCATTCTGGGTGAAAGACTGTAAGTACGGAAAGCGAGGGGCATTCTCTCTGCAGCATGATGTTGTTATCATCATACAAAACTATATAAAATTGTTGTTGTCAAAACAAATGTGTGACAAAAGAAAATTGACACAAAGGTATTTGGTTTACAGTAAACTAGTGGCACTTGCTGATTATGTTATGGTGGTGTATGTTCTAAGGTTTTTGCCGCAGATCCTGAGTGTTATGAATTTTTGCCTACTCTCTCCATCTTTGACTGCTGTAGTGGCACCTTTGACAAACAACCAGCCTATTGAAAATGCTCTCCCCATTATCTGGAGGTCCTCTGAGACTGCACAGACTGACCTCCCGATAATGTTACATGGATCATATGGTCAAAATATCATGAACTTACTGTTGAGTAGCCATGACAGAACATATTATTTACTGCTACTGAAAACAGAGATGTATTATATATGGCTATCTTATGAGAACCATGTATCTCAAAAATCTACTTCTTATGAGCTAACAAAAACAGTTGTTCTCACCTTTGTGACACCACATTTTTGGTGTTTTTATCATAAATTTTATCCTAAAGGCCCAGTGTGCAGGATTTAGGGGGCAAAAATTGAATATAATATTCATAAATGGTAAATGTGCTTGTCTTGTATAGCACTTCTCTAGTCTTCTGACTCCTCAAAGCGCTTTTTACATGTCACATTCACCCATTTACACACAGTCACACACTGGTGGCCAAGGCTACCATTGGTGCCACCTGCTACTCAATAACCATTCACACACACACTCACACACCAATGTATCAGCCATCGGGAGCAATTGGAGGTTTAGTATTTTACCGCCGCTCTTCTGATGCCCTGCTCTACCTCTAAGTCACAGTTGCCTATGTGTTCATTTGTCTATTATCACCTAAAACTAAGAATCACGTTTTTGTTACCTTGGAATGAGCCATTGATATCTACATACAAAGCAGGTCTCTTCCATGAAGTCTGTCATGTTCTTTTAACAGGGGCTCAAACTAAACACTGGCTCTAGACAGGGTCAGTCATACTGACACGGGGAAAACATGCAAACTCCACACAGAAGGGCTCCCCAAACCCAGGGTTCAAACCAGGAACCCTCTTGCCATGAGGCAAAGGCTAAACACTGCATCACCATGCTGC